TTCAAGGTTGCATGTTCCAAATCTTTGCTGAGCACTTCTTTGGTGGAGTGGAGATGATTCTTCTCACAGCCATGGCCTATGACCGTTATGTGGCCATTTGCAAGCCCCTGCACTACTCTTCTATCATGAACTGGAGGCTCTGTGGAATTCTGGTGGGAGTAGCCTGGACAGGGGGCTTCTTGCATGCCATGATACAAATTCTCTTTACTTTCCAGTTGCCCTTTTGTGGCCCCAATGTCATTGATCATTTTATGTGTGACTTATACCCATTACTGAAGCTTGCCTGCATGGACACACATATTCTTGGTATTTTGGTGGTTGCTAACAGTGGGTTCTTCTGCATTTTAATCTTCTCCTTGTTGCTTATCTCTTATGGTGTCATTTTGTTCTCATTAAGAACCCATAGTTCTGCAGAGAAGTGGAAAGCTCTCTCCACCTGTGGATCTCACATTGCTGTTGTGCTTTTGTTTTTTGTCCCATGCGTGTTTGAATACGCACGACTTCCAACTACTCTCTCCTCTGACAAAATGGTAGCAATATTTTACACCATCCTAAGTCCTTTGCTTAATCCTTTGATTTATACTTTCAGGAATAAGGACATGAAACAAGTCATGAGGAAAGTGTGGAAAAGATTGAGGGTTGATTCTGATGAAAAATAAAACATTAAACTTTAAAAAAATAGGTGTAAAGCAGTAAAAATGCTTTTGGATAAAAACTTTTGTAATATATCTTCTACAGAGATAATGTCATATTGTAGAAAAAGTTTTGAGGTGATGGTCAAAAATGTTTTCATTTTCATATTCCTCATCCATTGAATTTGTAGCTTATTAACAATATGTATAAATTAAAGGGAAATTTATGATTACTTAGAATCTAATAATTAACAAAAAAAAAATCAATAGACAAATTACCTACTAGGCTACCTCTGATTCACTCCAAGTTTTAAATCCTTTGTGGAGAAAAGGCAAGAATATATTTAGGATTAGTAATGGACACCTACTCAAACTATGTATTTTAGATGAAAAGTTCATATCTAGATTATCTATCTACCTATATCTATAATTTA